CAGATCTCAGGTTTTAAGTCTTTTTTTACTCTGAAATTTCACTAAAATATAATAATTATAATGAAATGTAGTTTATATATTTTTTTTTATATTTTACTTTAGGATTAGAGATTTTTCATTTATACATTTTAAATTATAAATACATAATAGTCATTTATAGAATTACAGAGTAGTTATTAGACTCAAAAAAACTTTTCATGTGGAACCTCCCATCTCTGTAATAAGTTGAAAGCATAAACTTAACTTTAAAAAGGCAATTTGCTTAATTTTATCAATAAAATAACGAAAATCAACAAGAAAAAGCTGAAAAGTACCTAAATATTAAAAAAAACAATTGACAATTTTTGGGTTAATCAAGTTTTTTTTTGAAATTTAAAGGCAACTACGACAGTATCTTGCCAAATTTCTGGGTCTCAGCAATTGTTTGTTTTTTTTTCACTTATCTACAACTAGATTGATTTTTATTTTGTCTCTTATCTTAAACTTTAAGAATAATGGTATTAGTAGATATAACGTTCCAAACTCGCTTCACCAAAAGAAAAATTTAATTTCAACTTTAAGCTTCACAAAACGTGGAGAATTAATTTATAAAGATGGCGTGTGATAGTTTTTTACGTGGACGTTTTTTTTAATTTGGGCGATCTTTAACATATAAGTATATAACTCAATAAAGAAGATTAAATAATATTTCTTTAATATTTCAATTTGACATTTTATTAGATAATTTAGAAGCTGCAATTACATTAAAGTTTACAATTGATTAAAAATGGATTGTTGTTAGGTATGATCTTGATAAAAAAATAAGTTTACAAATATTATAAATTACATATTATGTTGATATATAATATTATATTATATTCAATGGTCGAAAATATGACTAAATTATTATGAATAGTCTTAAAATTAGTGTAATTTGTTTGTCAACAAAATTAGTGTAATTATTGAATGCTAAAAGACTCTATACAAAAACATTTTATCAATAATTAAATACTTAATCCACGGCTTTTAAACTTTCCTATAAAATATTTAATAGCTTTTTTTTATCAAATTCAGAGGATTTTTTCATACAACTACGTATTAATAAACCTCTTAAGTACTATACTAACTACTTTAAAAGATTAATAAGTTAAAACTTAAAATTGAAAAGTATAAATGATTCTCGAGAGTTAAATCTTTTATGTATAGAATGTAAATATAAATTACAATTTATTGTTATTTTGTTATTATTTAACACATAGAGATATCACGTGGTAAAAAAAAAGTAAACATAAATGATTAAAAAACTTACACAAATCGTGTTGAAATGTATACAAAATATAATATGATATGTAATCCTTATTCCATACAGATTAAAAAAGTAATTGTATTTGCAAATAAAAGTGTATAAGTGTATAACACACATGTATCATATATGTTATACCGAGGTGAATAAAACAAATTCCTATCACCAAATATTTGAGTTATAGAGTGTTGATATTACTTATTTTTATAAAAACAAAAAAAATGTTATATAAGTGTTTAAAAAAAAAAGGTTTATTGTTATACAGGACATACAGATACAGTGTAATATTTCCTTAGGTACAAATGTACCTATATAAGCGATACAGCAGATCTATTTTCAGAAATATTTTTAATGAAAGAATTCATGACACTTTACATTTGATTCATTTTAATTTAACTTGTATGTGATGTTCACAAAAATAAGAATAAACTGAACCTATTTATATCATAGTTCAAAATAACCGAGTTAAACAAATTTTACGAGTATTATTTTATTTAACAAAATTATAAAATGTTACTTTTAAGAACAATGTATTGATAACGACATTGTTATAATCGTTCATGATTGAATATAATTAAATAAATATTGAACAGTCACATACTAACAGGTCTAATACTATATAGGTACTTTTTTATTTTTCCGTGTAGCATCATTACATGGGAACCGAACTGTTTTCACATGTCTTAACCACAACTAGGTAGGTACTTATGAACCTCAAACCTCTATATTTTATAAATAAGTATAAGAATGTTTCAATATTATATCTCTGGATTTTTATTACTTTAATTTTGAATAAACATAATACATCTACATTTTATATTTATTGTGAAACAGTTAAGCTATCTTATTGAGATAGGAGTTATAAATACCTTTTATGAAAAAAAAAATAAAGAAAAAAATGGTGCCATTTTTTTGTGGGATCATTCAAGTCATTAGTTGTTTGTCGACAAAGACCATTACCTACATAAAAATAATACAATATTATTTCTTATTGACACTTTTTAACAAAGAGTGCACCACGGGAAATGGTTAATGCTTTTTCAACATTTCAAAATTGTAGATTACGAGACTCGAAAACAATACAATAAATTGATATGGTTTATTTTGTAATGATACAGAATAAACAGTATATTTTATGGTCGAAAAAAATGTAATTTATTTTAGTAACACGCTTTTATTATTATTACTATTATCATTATTGTTATTGTTATTTAATTATAATTTTTTATAATGATTTCAAACAATAATAGTAAAATATAATACGGATTGTGTGCGTGTAGGTGGGGGGGGGGGGGGGTCGTTGTTTATTTTTGTCATTATTTTATCATTATCTTTGACAAGAGCATACACTTAAATATTACAGCATCACGTAAAATAATATGTATTTATACAACGTATTATAAAATTAGTGTCTTTTTTTATCCGACAGTAAGACATTATAGTTGATTTTTTACACGATTAATACTTGTTATCATTGGAAAATGTCCAATTTAAAAAAAGCCGTGTTTAAAGATTCTAATCGTGTTAAATAAAATAAGAAATATTGTGACACAAATATAACAGGTATACAAACGAGTATACTGAAGCACAGGTATAATAAAATATTTATTCACACTGCGTTTTAAGACTATGTAAATTATTTGTCGACCATTTGCTCTAAGAACTCGAACGAATTATACTGTATCATATTATGACGTTTATTATGTCAATAAAATTGGATGCCAAAATTATATTATAACACCTAATCTGTTGTTTGGTAAAAAAAAACCATGCACACGTGTATTAATATATTATACCATAATATTAGTTTAATTACATCTCGTATAATAATATGGTTGCTAAATTATCAAACGCATTGTTTTACTTTTGTACCTAGTTTTTATAACTTAGATAGTTAGATATATTATCCTCTTAGATTATACATCTCAATTACTTTAAATAAGTCGGTGTGTACTCTGCTTTTACTTTGTCAACTCGTTCTTCTAAAATCAAAAGGTAGGTAGTACGATATTATATTGATAGTAGTGTAGTACCATAATATGAGATCGGAAAAATGTTATAATGTAATATAAATTTATATTATTCAATTTTAAGATACCACTAAAAATTTTAAAATTATTCACAATATATTATTGTCATTGATCATGAATAAGTTTATTTATATATTATTAGTAGCCAATGTAATATTATGTGGTGCATAATATATTCAAACTGTTTAATATCTAAATAATTTTTTTACCGAGTATTTTAAAGCGTAACGCTTTATTGCCAGTTTTGTAGCAACCTTATAACATTATAATCATTTCTATTGATCAATGTTTAAAGATAAGATTAACGAAGGCAATTTACATATTCGAAACAAATCCCCTGATATACATAATCCCTGATCGATGTTAACTTATAAACACAATGTGATTTGAAAATACGCAATACTGCTAATAGTTGGGACAGTAAGTTTTTGTTTAATGAAAAACACGGTTTTAATTAATATTATGAATTCGTATTTAAAAAACCACTCACATAGTATTTTAGCATTGCTGCATTTCCAGTGACTTCGTATTTTGTAGTACCTACTATATTACATTATATACACGATATTAAAATTAATACAATAAGTATGTTCAGTTTTTGTATATAATATGTACGAATGTTTGGACAATTGTATTACTTATTATTTGTTAATTTATCGCTGTTATTGTTTTCCATAAATTTTGTTAAATTTATTTCCCATGTAGATACGGTATCTACAATGCAATTGTATTATATAAATAGAAACCCGTATTTAATCATTACTATAATTATTATTAAAGTTAAATAAGAAATTATTAATTATTTTTTTATCTTAACACAGCATTAAAAGAAAAATATATATATTAAAAGACCTGTCTATTACAATACTCAAACGTCGGAAGTCTATTGACACGTATTTTTTTTTTATTTAAATCTCTTTATCAAATAATGAACAACTATTATAAAACAACCCTTTAAAACCAAGAATTCTAAAGTTACAACTTTTGTTATCAATACATTGTGGATCGATGAATAGAAGAAAATAAATAATACGATTTGTATTAACCTGACATTCAATTAAATTATTAAAATGACGTTGTCAGCAGTAGGCAGTAACAATACGTTAAACATAATATTAACATAATATTATTATAACTACAGAGCTATATCACCCCATAACTACATACTGTACAGACTACACAATAACTGTGAAATTGGTAAAAATGTTCTAAAACATTATAAATAGAAAGTATTCAAACCGTCGAACTATATTTAGATTTAAAATAATTTACTACTTTTCCCCGATAACTCGAAAAAAATACACAATAATAATATAATTTAAGCATATTATGTTACATGACGACAAACACGAATATCTATTTTACGTACAAGATAAAAGAGATTTCTATGACGTCGTCACAATAATTTCTAAAGCCAACGTAGGTTTTATGCCTACAACATAATATTTGACGTTGACATAGGTATATGGTTTGATTGTGATAAATCGAAATATGAAAGTCGAAAGTTGAAAAAAACAAAACAATAATGACAAACGCGCGTTCGTCCCCCACGAAATCCATCACCTAAATCACATTATAATGAATCACGGGTAGGCACTATCATATCATAGGTGGCAATAATAATAATAATAATATCATATATTATGTGTGACACAAACATTATATTCAGTAAAAGCGACACCACTTACCTGTGCAACATTTTAACGAGACATATTATTATAATATTCCACGTAACGTGTACGACACACGGCGGTGAAGTAACTGGAGGGGTACTGAAGGGGGTGTGCGGGTGAGGGGGGTGATCGGATGTCCAAAAACCGAATATTATCGTTTAATTAATAGTATTATAATAATACGAACCCGTTACGACGCGAACGGTACCTATTTACGAATGTGGATGATGGCAAACGTATATAATATTATATTATGACAAACACGACGATCGACGGGCGAACGCGCAAAACATGTGAATAATAATATAATAGGTATATTATCAGTATATTACGCACAGAATAATTATGACGATATTAATTTATTAATTTTTAACCAGAAAAATTAATTATCGTGTCTGGCGGCGGAATGGAGGCAGCGGCGGCGGCGATCAAATCACCGCGTGTCGTCGGCGCGAACGACGAACGCGCGAGTGGCCGTGGCGTGTGCGTAGCGTTATATTATTATTATTATTATTCAAAATATATATAATACGCGGCGGCGGCGGCGACGGCGGCGACACACGACGACGCGGCTGCCGGCGGCGGACTCGTCGGTCGGGCGGACGGTGCGCGCNAACATTTTTATGTCTATCTTTTACTTCAGCTTATCGTACTCGACATACTCTTGGAATTAAGTTTATTACCATTCCCCTAACCAAGTATAATATTTCATAATCTGTTATCAATTATTTTTTTAAAACTACTGAAATAAAATAACATTCTTAGGAAATAGTAGTTTTTAATTATATCTCAAAATGTTTGAAACTAAACAAAAAATTGCCGATAAAAACTATATATTCTACAATCACTAAGTATTAATAATTTATTATTTTATGTGTTATATCAATGGTTGAGCAACAAGCTTATCATGAAATTCTAGCAGTGGCGTAGCCAGGATTTTTTTTCAGGGGGGGGGCTGATGAATTTTTTACACAGCGGTGGTTTAGTTTTTGATCGAATGCCATAGACCATTAAAATAATTTTTAAATTTTATTAACATTTAGGGGGGGGGCTGCGGCCCCCTCAGCCTCCCCCTTGGCTACGCCACTGTAATAATTGTATTTTTTGACGGAATTAATAATTAATCGTTACACATTATACCGCAGACGCGGTGTACATTGGCACAAAACAAAAATATCTATACCGAGGTGAGACATCCTGTCGGAGCGCCACGAGTACAACTCTATAAGTCTCGCGATACTGTCTGATTTACAGTGATTAGAAACAGAAACGCGAGAATATTATAAAAATAAAACATATTAGGGTGTCTCGTTTTTTCGCTCCTCATACGAACCACGATGTAAAACCAATTTTTTAACTCATATTTAAACGAAAAAAGGATTTAGAGCCTGTACAACTTAATATATCATTGCGAATCATAATACCTATATATAGAGACTTGGAACTTGAGGTTTTTACATGTTTGAGGTTTTTCGTTTTTTTTTTTTTTATCAATATTAATGTAGCTTTCGGTAACAACTAATATAGCTCAACAGTTATATAATAGAAGAGTACAAATTAAATTACAGGTTTTTCGTTATTGAATGGTACTTTTTTTTTATTAGATAAAAGCTTTCCGCGGCATCAGGGGCCATTGGGCGTATTGCATTAAGATACATTTAAAATTAAAATTTACAGTTTGCAGGTACATTTGCGCATTGAAAAAAAGATAAACAGACAGATATAGTGGTATGTACTATATATATAGAAACATTGTACATTGTATATTTTCTTCAACAGTTGGGATTCTGCAAGGAACTGAATGAGTTATAGAGGATGTTGATGGGTTCTGGGTTATGGGTAATGGTACTTTGATACTTTTTTTCCAGGTTTCGTTGGGTTGATTTTTAGTTTTAATTGAGTTCGTCTTAAAGCCATAGCATAGTATATGGCTTGTTTTTTAAAATGATTTTAGTTCTTAGGTTTAGAGCAATATATTATGATACATTCTCTCATGATACATTTATGAGACAATAATATATACAATTTGTTTAATAGTGCTTATAAATGTGTTCTATGTGGCTTCACACCCTATAGGTAGCTATTTGGTCGCACGAATCACATCTAGTTAAAAACTACATCAACTACCTCAAATTCGTTTCATGCACATCCGTTTTAACTGACTCAGTTGATTTTCCTAGCTCCACCGTGGTCGATGGTGGTACGTACTCGGCAAAGATGCTTTGACGTATCTTCAAAAATTAGACGTAGTCACGTGTGATTATATGGCATAAGATCAGGCGCAGAGTATCGGACGATTCATAAAATCGCACAACTCAATATAATATAATATAGGTAGGCTGTTGTTATAGGTCATATACATTGAATATGAGCAGTTTGCTTGGAGAAGTATACGTAACTCATTTACGATTCTAGTATGGATTGGTCCATGGATACATTGCACTTTCAAAATCACTAAATTGTTTAAATTTTCACGTCCTGCAGTACGTAACTAGGTCTTTTAATAATTTTTAGATACAACAATTACTATCGAAACCAATTTATTATGCTCTGAATGGTTTTGTACCGTGAGATTAAAGCTATAGCCTATAATGATAATACCCAAATGTATTTATTTCAATTTTATTATTAGATTGTATGCGTGAATTATTTTTATAATACCCATATGCATTATATATTTATATTGCAGTGTTATTTTATTTATATTCTTCTGTTATTTATCATCTTTTTTGAATACACTTTGTTATCATACTTATATTTAAAACTGTTATTGGTCGTTTGAATGAATAAATAAATGAATACCGATCATACTGTTATACTGTTAATCCGTAACACTAGCAACACTTAGGTACAATATTATTTTCCGAGTCAATTTCCCTGTTATTTATGTGTATACGTTTGTCGGTTTCTATGTTATTTATGAATGTTTATAATTTATAGATATAATAATAGGTACCTATGGTTTTGAAGTATTTATGGCCCAAATACATTGTTATACGAGATGATCTGACACATATTGTATATTTTAATTTCATAATCGCAATAGTAGAATACTTCGCTGAAAGTGCGGACGTGTGATGCGTGACCCACATTCTCATATCTTTGAAAAAGTTCTATAATATGGTTTATTACAAGTTCATTGGTCAATACTCTAAAGAAAAGTCGTAGCAGTTTTTCTTTTCATGGTAAATCCTAAATGATTTTGGAGGTGGAAATGCGCATTAAAAGGAATTTGTTTGTTGACAGTCGCACAACACTTGTCAATTCTATATATTTAACAGAATAAAATTGAGTTTAATGAAAAGTTGTAGGTGGTCGAGATAAACAACATGTAATGATAATTACGAAAAATCGTAAAAAAATCAAATTTTTTAGTACGTACATAACTACATAAGTACATTGGGTATCAGAAAACTCAAAGTATTCATATTTTTTTTTCATTTAGAGTACATTATAGTACCTTATATATAGTGTGTTTAAGTCATTTTTTAAAATAATTTTATTCATTTCGTATTTCAGCTTTTTTCATTAATATATTTGTCAACTGATTGTTTTGATAACTCTGCAGCCTTTTATTGTTAAAAAAAAAAAGTAGTGTTTTTTTTCCTATTATAACGTAGAATTATTACTTTAAAAATCAAAAGAATTAACCTGCTCAATTTTATCGATTTTTACTCGATTTAATATTCGTTTATTGAAAAAAAAAAGAAAAAACTACTACCAAATCTATTGCTTTTCAACATATTATTATTTTGTTTTTCCTTAAAGTCTTCCGTTAAAAATCCGAATTCTGCTTTTTTTATTTACCGTTTAAAATATAAATAAGGATGATACTGGTTAACTTATTGCTATATATTATATAAAAGCTAGACGATGAATGCGTATTGTATTATTATATAAAAGACGGTGGGGCAGTTGTGCAAAAGCGTATGATGATAATATTTTATGAAGAATACATTTCTTTTGCGCTCTACCGCTCTCCGCGGGCTCTCGGGATCACACCATACAATAATAATAATATGTTCACATTATGTTGTTTTATGTAGTACGTCCCGGCGCGTCCGAATCAAAAAAATCAACGGCCTCGTGCAACGGACCAATAATAAAATAATAATATTATGTGTAATAGGGTTCGCGCCGCCAAGTAACCTACGAGATTAAATAAATAACGATATTTGTATATTGCCTTAGAGTCAAAATATGTCACACGTATGGATCAGATAATACGTATTAATATAAAAGGGAAATCTAGTATTGCAGCTCTCTTTAATACAAACGAGGTAAAATCGCTCACCAGAGAGCGTATACATAATATCATAAACTCGCGATAGAAACAAAAATTAGAATTAGAAATACGAGAATATAAACGGAGTACCTTTTTGCGAGTAAATAATATTATAATATTATTATGCACAATGTATGGATACGTCATTTTTTTAATGGTAATTTATACAACACAATACGAGTATGTGGATATCGAGGATATCATGATGTGGTTATCTTGAATATTATCTTGATATTATTTACAATCCTATACTAATGTTATAATCATATTAGTTATGTGCAATTTCAAGTACATGTCCCCCAACCCCACCCAATCAACATGTTGATATATTTTTCAAGTCAGTGTCTAGAGGTCAGTTAGTAACAATTTTCAAGACTATTTCCACAATTTTTAAGCCTTTGCTTAAATCATAGAACAAAGAAAAACCAAGGGTGGCGCTGGAAACACAAGTCCACAGCCCCGCCCATACCATTGAATTATAATCATATCTTGCAAATTGTTGCTAATTGACTGCTAAATGTTGACTTGAAAAAAATAACATAATTTTGATTGGGTGGAGTTGCAATTTTAGTTTTTGACTTGAAGGGGACTTACATATTATCTAAATGAAACAGACACACGGAGTACTCTGCCCCTCCCCCTTTAAAATATAATACTCTATGTAATATAATATAGCATAATATATTAAACATTTGTTTCTCAGCCACTTTCCTAAATTTAATAATAAATATTATAATACAACTACCTATTATTAAAATGAAATTTATTTTTCCTAACACAAATTACAACATTAAGTACCTATATATCATATAATATTATAATTGTAACCATCGATTCAAAATTGCAAATCTATAACACTTCTATAGTTCTATCGAGTATCGACTATAGAGTATTTTATTTTTATTTTTTTTTTGTTTAGTTTCAATTCAAATACATATGAATACTGGTCCCCACTGAAAAGATACGTGTGGGGCCCAGGAGTCCCAACTTCTAAAACAAATTATACAATAGTAAAAAAAGAAAAAAATAACATTTGCGTCGATAGAGGTAAATTAATACAATGTTATTTCTATAATATTATTAAAATTCAGAGTAGGTATCAACTATATTCTAAACAAATTGAAATGTTATCATGTTGTATTGTAATTACTAATTTAAATTATAAATTATAAATTACTAATTTTTAATACTATTATTAAACCTACCTGTATTACGTTCTGGGGATCCGAAATCAACTATGAAAAA